CGGATGCAGAGTTAGCCATTTCTGCTTGACAAGTAAGTATCTCTGCTTCATTCTTTTTATTTTTAATAATGTTATTAAAAAATAAAAAGCTTACTGTATAGAGCTGCTGTAGTACTACACAACAAAGTTAGCGATGGTTACAGAACCACCAGCGATATGTTTGTTATGATATTATAACACGTTAAATAAATGCTAACGTTAGCAGCTAACTCGTTTAGCCTCAGTAAGCTACTGTTCATATTTACCTACATATAGTTATCTTGACTTATTCTGTCGTGGATCAGAATTAAAAGCAGTTAACTGTGCACTGCCTCTGTCGAAAATAAAAGTAAATAAAATACAATGATGCCTGATCAACATTAGCACTTAGCTAATCAGGCCTGCTGTTAGTCCTGGCTGATATTAGAATGCACTCATGTTTGTTTTTAGTGTTATTCACATTTGATTTTTAACAACACCTCAGCATTAAAACGTATGTTAGTTCTACAGAATATATGCTGTTGCTGATGAACACGTCAGTGTGACATGTTAGGAGTATATTACAAAGTTAAATGTGTGTGATTAAAAGACAACCCTGACAATTTATTTATGTAATTGTTTTTTGTAGATGTCTGGATGTTTATTTGGCTAACAAMAACAACAACCAWACTTCAGATGACCACACATCATTTCCTGGTCCATTCCAGTGTTGTTGGTAACGCAGATTGGTAAGAAAATATATTGAAGGCTTTTATTGCCAAGTTCTCTGTGTTTGTTCAGCCTCAGCAGGATTTATAATCTGTTATTAGATGTTTAGTCTGGTAGATATCATATGTGATTCATTCTACAGCCAAAAAATATATAACATTATATAGGTAAGTTGGTCTAGACGTATATAAAATAAAATTCAGTATGTGATAAATGTGTTGAAATAAAAATCTGGTTATGGTTTTAACTCCATTATACTGTATAATTGTTTCAGAGAAGCTGACTTTGGGGAAGGTCTGACACTCAGTGGATTCTTTAAGACTCCTATTCAGGCTTTGTAAAATAGGTAAGTCATAAACTATTTGTGTCGAGATGAATTTTTTGGACTGCAACTGTTGTAGCTCTGATGTTCATCTTGATTGTAGGACAAAGGGAAATATTTGATGGTAAGTTTGGTGGTTTATTCAATGCAACAGATTTTAAACTGACAAACTGTGGGAGACAGAAAAAAGAACCAAAGTTTGAGAACTTAAAGTGAAAAATGTTCGGTTGTCAGGGTTGTCATTATTGTCCCAGAGGTTTTACAACAAAAGACAATTTTACGTTTATTTTTTCATCAGTCTGATAAGAGAAACCACATCAAATCTTAACCAATTGGTCAGTGGAAATGACTGCAGTGAGATAATATGCAGTTGGATTTAGGTTTGTTAATTTTATTGAAAATTCTTTACCTTATTTTCAGAAGTTTTATTATTAATAACAAGCTGATAGTGAAGCAGTGATTCTCAGTTCTAGTCGTGACCCACTGTCCTGCATGTTTTAGTTGTTTTCTAGCTTTGACACACCTGATTTAAATTATTGGGTGATTGACAGGCTTCTGCAGAGGAGCAG